ATCAGAAATCAGCAAACTGTATCAGAATTAAAAGAAAGGCAGCACATTAAATGAATGTCCAGCAAGTCTTAGCACCGTGTATCAAAGCTAAGAGCATAGGAGGGGAGCTGCTCCGAGTCATTTCTGAATGTCCAGAATTCTAAGTGAGACCTTTCTCAATGCCTGGTTCTTTGAGAGCCGTACAATATATGGCCTCTATTTATAACCAAAACTTAAAGCTGTCATGAAACCCTCTTTTTATCTCTAAAGACAGCTAAGTGTTTAACAGAATTCAGGAGTTAAACTTTGTTACTAAGACCTGGGCATCTCAGCAGGATGCACAGGGCCTTGGAACTTAAATGTGCAAAATACCATGCATTCCAGGCTTACAACTGCTGTCTTAGGAGGCCCCCTAGTGCTCACAGTGCAGATACTTCAGAAGTTCAAACACCGACACTTCAGAAAACCCTTTATGAAATCAACTGTGGAGTCAATCAGTAGCTATGATTCTAGTACCAGTTCCACCCTGAGATGTGGGGGTTCCCACACTACCAAGCAATTCTCAGAAGTCAGCTGAGTGTCCTACCATTCAACTCAATATTGACACTATCTACACGAAAGTACTAGTATAACATCTCAGATTCCACAAGTTAAGGGTTCGGTCCTTCCTACAAACCTCCCCCTGTCCTCCTTTTCCCCCCACACATACAAACACACATACACCTACAGGTGCCAGTTCAAGTCCAAGTGGTCACCTGTGTTTCTGGTCAAATGGCTATAAATCAAGGGTACCCATGACCCCCTCTTTGGGTTTGATTAATCTGCTAGAGTGGTTCAGAGGAACATTTTACTTACTAGATTACCAGCTTATTATCCTATCTAATAAAAAAGTCCATCAGTCCAACACACAAGATGGCTGCCCCCATGTGGTCAAAGATGGCTGCTCCCATATGGACACAAGATGGCCACCACAAGATGGCCAGCAGGGGAGGGCACTTGTGGGCGATCAGGACAGCAGGAGAGGGCAGTTGGGAGGGACCAGGCCAGGCCAAGGGACCCCACCAGTGCACAAATCCGTGCACTAGGCCTCTAGTAAAAGAATAAAAAATAAATAAAAGGATATAACTCAGAAACGGCCAGATGGAAGAGATGCATAGGGCAGTGTATGGGGAAAGGGCCCATAGCTTCCATGCCCTCTCTGAATACAAAACTCTTCCCAAATCTCTGTGTTCACCAACCCCGAAGCTCTCTGAGCCCCATCCTTTTGGGGTTTTATGGAGGCCTCATTACATAATATCCTCATTACATGAGTGACTAAATCATCGGTGACTGGTGAGAGATCCCACCTCTAGCCTCTCTATCCTCCCCAGACATCAGAGATGGGACTGAAAGATCCATCCCTCTACTCTGGGTGGTTTCCCCAGCAACCAACCAGCCCCATCCTTAGATGCTTTTCCAAAAGTCACCCAGTAGTGATGAAAAGGGGCTGGTTATGAATAACAAGACACATGTTTCACCTTTTGGCTCTGAAGCAACTTCAGGACGGGATATTATGACAAAATACTACAACAAAAGATGCTCCCATTGCTCTTATCACTCAGGAAACCCCAAGGGTTTGGGGAGACTGAGTCAGGAACCTTGGACAAAGGCTAAACATATATGAGAAATATATTCTGAGCACCTGAATGACCAAACATCTCTTTCTTATAAATTATATCACTGTAGTAGCCCATTAAAAATAATATCTTTTTTAGGGAAATAAATTATACAGGTGAAATGTAAAAGATCTGATTTTAATTAGTTTAGCTTGAATTGTTTTGAGCCAACTTGCAGAAGGTCTAAAAAGTCTAATCAATACTTAATAATAAAATTATTTTTCAAAATTATGGTCTCTGATAACATTCTACTTTGCTTTATTTCTTGATCCAGTTCAACTACTAAGGTATCATATATAACACTCAAAAACTGAAGCTTCAGATGACAATACATATGATTAAGTCGTTCATAAGAAGAGTTTATCACTTGTGTAATTTTAGAAAATAAAATTTGAAAAGTCAACACACAGTATTCTCCTCTAACGTTGATCTATCTTCTGGAATCTCATACTTAGGTCTGTATCATTTATTGTGATAACATATTTCAATGGTATTCTTTATTCTTTTTTTTTTTTTTTACCACTGTGGCTTTAAAAAAAAAAAAAAAATATATATATATATATATATATATATATATATATATATTTTTTTTTTTTTTTTTTTTTTTTTTTTTTTTTTACAGAGAGGAATAGAGAGTTAGAAACATAGATGAGAGAGAAACATTGATCAGCTGCCTCCTGCACACCCCCCTACTGGGGATGTGCCCGCAACCAAGATACATGCTCTTGACTGGAATCGAACCTGGAGCCTCTCAGTATGCAGACTGATGCTCTATCCACTGAGCCAAACCGGTTTAGGCACCACTGTGGCTTTAATGAAGCAGCTCAGAAATGTGTTAAAATGACTGGATGGTAATTATGTACTGCAATTAATGTACCTTTCTTTTTTATGTTTGTAAGGGAACCAATCCCCAAACCATTACCATCCCTCCATCGCATCCCCAACTCCATCCTCAATGTTCCTGGCCAGACCCATAGAATTTCTGTCCTCTTAATAATACTAGAAAGAAACCCTTCCCCCTTTTCTACCCCACCCTTCTTCCCTCTTCCCTCTTCCTCAGATTGGGGCGTCTTTCCTAATTAGTAAGGCTTGGAAAGTGGGAACCAAGCATGCCTAACTCATCCCTCTCCCTTTTGGGATCCAGCCCAGTGATGACCGTTCCCCTTCACTGATCATTAACTGCCTGTTCCTGCAGGGGTGAGGAACAAGCCGTCCTGGCTGTGAGTGGGTGAGTGACTTTAACACGGCAGGAGGACAACATTGAGTCACATTCTCTAATACTAACCACAAGCAAATATTTCAATCCCTGACTTCAGCATCAATTTCTAAACTGTGTAATAGTTTAGAGGACAGCCCTAGCAGGATTGGCTCAGTGAATAGAGCGTTGGCCTGCAGACCCCAAGGGTTCAAGGTTCGATTCCAGTCAAAGGCACATGCCTGGAATCGAACATGCAGGTGGCAGCTTGGTCCAACGTGCAGGAGGCAGCCAATCAATGATTCCTTCATCATTGATGTTTCTATCTCTCTCTTCCTCTCCCCCTCTCTTTAAAATTATTAAAAATATATATTTTTAAAAGTTTAGAGGACAAAAGTATGACTAATTGTCACCCAAGAATATAAATTAGAGCAGATTACCCCTTTAAACACGTAATTCTCATTTTCTATGTTTTTAATTAACTGAGAGAGAAAGGAATTGAGGATTACCCTGAGTATACTTGAATTTATATCATTCCTTGTGTATTCCACAACAACAAAACAACCATCTAAGACTTATGGGAGCTTAGATTAAGGCCATTAACTGTTTGGTGTCCTTATTCTAGATAGAAACACACAATCTTCTAAATGAGAAGACAATTCCTTGAACATACACATCAGCTCTTACTGAGCATTATTTTTATGCTGCTCATTACAGAATTCAGGTAATTTTAGGTACTAAATGAAGCCTCCCTTGATGTCTCTGAAAGTAGTAGATAATTCCTGCCTTTGTTAGGCTCAAGCCCTTCCTTTAGTTCAAAAACATGTACCTGAGACTCTTCTTCAAACCAAACGTACTTTAGACTTATCTAAAGTAAAGCATAAATCGGTGAAGTATCCATGAAAATATAAGAGCATATGTGAATAAATGCTTCTACTTTGGCTATAAACTATCTTTTCCTCCCTGGTATTACTATAGGTTTCTGTTTCAATTTTTTTTTTTTTAATTTGGCACCAGAAAAAAAAAAAAGAAGAACCACAATCAATTTTCATCACTAAATTGATTCTTGCAAATCATATTCATTCATATTGGTAGTGGTCCCAGAGTATAGATCGCAGTAAACAAGTCCTTAGATTCTATACTCTATCACTGTTATCAGAAATCACATATATAAGATGACTCCAACTTCACACAGTATTCAGGTTCATTTTCATTGTGTGTTTTTTTCTTTTAGTTAATTGCCAAGTTGGTTTCTGATGGTGGGGGGGAGAATCACTGGGTTTCAAGAACTACCACAAGCTTATGTTCTGGAACAGTAGTACAATGGATGTATCACACACTGTAGGTTGACTCCTCACTGGCTACCCATTTAGAGGAAAGGGCAGAAATCAGAGAAAATGACAGACCTGTGTTCAATCTTCCTACCATTAGTGGATAAGATACACTGAGTGGCCTGATTATTATGATCTCTGAATGCATAATAATCTAGCCACTCAGTGTATAGCCTATATAATAAAAGGCTAATATGCAAATTGTCCCCTGGACCAGGAGTTCTACCAGCAGGCAGCCAGGCCAACTGCCTGTGTCTCCTCCCCCTGGCCAGGCTGGCTGGCCCATGCACAAATTCAGGCACCAGGCCTCAGAGATCATAATAATCTGGCCACTCGGTATATATAACCTGTATGAGCCTCAGTTTTCCCATCTGAAATTAAAGATAACAATATAGAGTTTTTAACTATTCTATAAGAAAACAAGAAAAGATATATGAACCGAAACCGGTTTGGCTCAGTGGATAGAGCTTCGGCCTGCAGACTGAAAGGTCCCAGATTCAAATCCGGTCAAGGGCATATACCTTGGTTGCATACACATCCCCAGTAGGAGTGTGCAAGAAACAGCTGATCAATGATTCTCTCTCATCGATGTTTCTAACTCTCTATCCCTCTCTCTTCCTCTTTGTAAAAAATCAATAAAATATATATATATTTTTTAAAAGAAAAGATATATGTGACCCACAACACATAGTACATGTACAACAATTAGCAGTTATTGTCCTAATCAGTCTCAACCACACTTCTAACCTGGATGAAGGCCATCACAGATTCATGGCATTGCTATAACAATTTTTATTTAAAGATATTCTGATTAACACATTATATTTAGTTTCAACTTACCAAGACAGGAGTACAAACCCTGGCTTATCCAAGCCAATATGGCAAGAGTTATAAGGTCACCAAAACTAGCAGCGATGGGTGTGGCAACATTATCAGGATTTATACCAGTCTTCTTTGAGCCAACGATAACCCCAACCATGATTATTCCTAGAAGAAAGAACATTCATTACTTTTCTGCTATGATTTCAAAAACAATCAATTGCCCTACATACAAAATACACAGGTTAGACAAACAGCCTATGAATTTCAGTTAGACTGCTTAAACAAGTGACTAACACAAACAAAACATTTGCTAATGCTCTGGCAAAATGCCTTTCAAGGAATTCCAAGTGGGGAATCATGGAAGATTCGAGGTCAGTGTTGCATTTAGACACCTGAAAACCTCCTGTCAAATAAAGTTAAAGCTAAAGTTTCAAATGTAGTAACTTGTATGTCTTAGATGCAATGTATTTGTGTGTATCAAATGCACACTTTTTATTTTAACCCTCAAGTAATGCATGAAAATATCAAAGAGACGTAAATCATATTTATTTGCATAGCAACTGAGGAAGAAAAACAATAAAACCAGATTTGTTTACATAGTGGTAGCCAGAAATACTTGCTTCCTTTTATTATTTAAAGGTACTGAAATGTTAAGAGGAAGGAAGTAATTCAATTTTTAACATGAGGCCAGAAGCTGTCTTTTTATAGAATACTCTCGCAATCCACAGTTTGTGTCTAGGAGCCTATAGCTAAAGAACAGAAGCTGAAAATGTTACTATGTACTTACATTTTTAAGTCCTTATCTTCCTGAATCATAGAAATGGGAGAAAAATGGTAACGTTTATATCCACACCTAATTATATAGATTTTCTCATGCCAACATACTCTATCAAAGGATGCAGTGAAGACAATTTAAGATTAGATTACTTATGTGCCCTAGTAGGAGGGCAGAAATGGGGAAAGAGAGATAGAAACATCAATGAGAAAAACAGTGAACAACTGCCTCTTGCACGCCTCTTACTAGGCATTGAGCCCACAACCCAGGCACATGCGCTGACCAGGAATCAAACCAGTGACTTCCACGTGTATGGGATACCATGCTCAATGACCTGAGCCACACCGGCTGAGCAAGAAGTCAAGTCTTAATTATAATTAAATTCTCTAAGTTCTGGGAATGAACCTAGCCAAAAAGTTAGCTTCCTTATATGATCACCTACCAAGAGAATCTTCTTTTGAACTTTGCTGGTGATGTAAGGGTGAAAAGATGATGTTTATAAAATAAAAAGAATCAAGTCTTTATGATTATGAGTCCATAAATAATCTAGCTATCCGGTGTAAAGTTCCTATTAATTAATAAACACTTTTAAAACGATATCCCAAAATTTCTAATGTAGTTAGTTTTTTACAACTTCTGGCTCTCTCAATTTCAATAGGCAACCATCTGCTATGTTAAGCTTGCGGTTATATTTGTATTGCCACAGAGACAGTGCAGGGTTTTCTTTGAAATCTGAAACTTGAAAAAATTTCAACAGAGAGACTGCTTTTGGAACTCAGGATTCTTGGAATCCTTGTTACTCAACAGACAAGCCAGTAAAATCCTCAGCATGATTTTCCAGAAAGGAGTTTCTCAATTAACAGAAACAAAGGAGTAACTCAGCTACTCTCCTGATCTTGTTTGGGAACTGTATCAGGCAGGGTACCTAAGGCCAGGAGACAACTCTAAAAGCCTGTTCTGCACTCAGGTTTACAGATAATAAATATAAAAAATAAGGTATTTTTTAAGTTTGTAGACAACTCTTCGATATTTTTTTTTATTATGAACATTTAAAAAAAATAGCCATGCTATTGGGAAATGAAAGTAAAAGACTACGAGTAGGTGCTTGTGAGTGTTCTTACCCTGCAGGAGAGAGGCGATGAAGGCAGTTGCTACGCTGCTGGAGCACAGCAGTATGGAGTGATCAAGGTAGTATTTCCCTTCCGGAATCCAGCCCAATATAACCGCCGCCACGGCTGCTAGAAAACCGACCACTGTGGCTTGAACCTGAAATTTATTTTTTTCATAAAATTCAGTGGAATTATTCATTTTGCAAACACACCTGTAAGCCTGATTACATAAATGTGCATAGGAGGAGTCTGAGGAAAGTACTGCTACTAGTAATTGAGCTGCCTTTTAGAGAAGCTACTTTATTTTAATTTGAGTATTCTCCAAGGGGGGGGCGGTTCTCAAGCTGCCCAGGAATGGAACAGGGTCCAGGGATCTGTTTTTAACAAGCATCTCAAGTGACTTTTTTGATGGGATCCACAGATTGTCTAAGAAAATACCAACTTTAGGGCTGAAGAGTACACCACCCGCAGAAGGGGAAGGCTGATGCCAGAGGCAGTGTTGGCAAGAGACTGGATTTTACAATCCAAAGATATGAGTTTTACCACTGGCTACACCATTTACTTAATCTTGTGACAAATTATTCAAATTCACTTATTCAACAACTATTAATTTAGCGTCTATTATGTACCAGGCACTATGCTTGGTGTTGGGCTATAACAGTGGTCAAAGCAAGTTTATTCCCTGCCCTTAAAGAGCTTCGGTTGGTGGACATTAAACAAGAACCTTACATGTAACCACAATCATGATTAATGCTATACAAACTTTACTTCCTGCCCGGTCAGTGTGGTTCAGTGGTTGAGAGTCAATCTACAAACTAGGAGCTCACAGTATGATTCCCGGTCAGGGGGTTGTGGGCTCAATCCCCAGTATGGGGCATGCAGGAGGCAGCCAATCGATGATTCTCTCTCCTCATTAATGTTTCAATATCCCTCTCCTTCTCCCTTCCTCTCTGAAATCAATTAAAAATAGCATTTTTTAAAATGTGTATATTTTGGGGGAACATCCTATATTTGTACAAATATTAACTCAAAATCTGGCTCTCTAATACACTTATGACAGAAAATATTTTGTATACTTCTATTATATATTTTTCATATTTAGAAGTACACAATTTCTAGAGAAAGAAAATTTTTTAAATCATTGATATTCATTTATTCTATCCCTTTTTCACAGTACTGAATTATCACTTGGGGGTCCCCTGAAATAATGGTAGACTTAACTAAAATTTATTTCATTCTTACTGCTAATATCCAAGATCTGTAAACCTAAGGTCTATAAATAAATATGTGCATCACTTACCTGTTTTAAAGCCAAGTTGCCAATTATTAGGTTCCACTTTTCAATGGGTGAATCCATCTTCCCAACATTTACCTGTTAAGGTAGATATTTTCATATATCACTGAATAAACTATATGCTCTCTATTTTACTTAAACAATATATGAAGTCTTAAAGCCAAAGGTAATTCTTCAGTAAATCTGATGAGCTCACATTGCACTTAAATATAATTCTGAGTTCACTACCAGTCTTACATCTCATATTCAGCTTGCCTGAGATGTTTCAGAAAATTTTTTTTAGTTTAATTATTAGCTCACACATGGACTAGCTAATACTACCCACCTTCCCAGTAATATGTAGTTATTTTACAACTAACACCATCAAGAGCATCCTAACATGCCAAATTTTATGTACACTCAATATAAATACATAATTTTCAGTTGCTAGCATATCATTTCACATCATGAAGCTAATGTAATTTGAAGAATTATTGACCAAAAAAACCCAGATACAAACAACTGATTCATATGAACATAATTTATATTTGAGTCATGACTAACACTGTTAATAATAAAAAATTCATTCAGTTAAATATGAATTTTGATCATTTATCTCACTATTAAAGTTTATACCTCTTTTTGCTAAATGAAAGAATGCACTCCAAAAAAATATTATTATTCACTCATTATATTATTCTATAAGCCAAATCATACTTATTAACCACTTAGGATTCATAAAATGTATATCCAAATCTGACAAGTTTTTTTTTTTAATTCAGTGTTTTGGAAAACAATGAGCAATTGTTATTAAAAATACTATACAGAGCCAGGTTTCAATTGTTCATCATCTGCTTGGTCATAGAAGATAGGTAAAAGGGTAAAATGGAAAATATTTAAGGGTATTATATACCTACTAGGGAACCAGTGCATGAATTCGTGCACCTTGAAAGGAACTGTGGGCCACAAGGCTGCAGTGGGCACAGGGCAGGTCTTGGCCCATCCTCTGCACCCCCATCTGGCCCCTCCTGCCATGGCCCTCTCTTCCCCTGTCTGCTGGAAGCCCCGCTCCCGCCACCGCTCCCACACGCTGATGGCACCAGCTCCGCTCACATCCACTGATGGTGCAGAGCTATCGGGGCTGGTGCCAGCAGCAGGTGCGAGCGGCAACTGCTGCCCCGATCATCCCTCAGGAGCAGGGGGAGGTGGAGAAGTTCTCGGGGCAACCAGGGCCAGCAGCTGCTGCTTGCACCTGCTGATGAAGCTGAGTGATCAGGACCGGCACCTGCAGTGGGTGCAAGCATCGGATGGGACCCTGGTGCACGGGAGCAAAAAATTTTCAGTAACCACCAGAGGCTTACCCCGGTGACAGTGACTGGCACCCTGCATTGGTCTGGCGCCCCCATTCACCTGCTCCACCATCCCACTGTGGCCAATGCCTGCTATGTTCTGCACATGCCCCCTGGTGGTCAGCGCACGTCATAGTGACCGGTTGTTCGGTTGTTCCACCCTTTGGTTTATTTGCATATTAGCCTTTCGTTATATAGGATGGGTAGCTTTAGCTATGGTCAATCTGGCTTCAGACCATTCAGTTATACGCTACATCAACCTTTCCTGTATCAATCTAGAAAACAGATCCTGTTGCCTAACTTCACTCTGGACCGTAGTCTCAAAGTACCCAGCAAATGCAAATATTAGGGTCCTCCAAGATGGCTGCGCCCAGGTGAATACCTAGCTGCAGCCTCACACAACAATTTCAATAAAATACAACTAAAATATAAAACGGACATTATCCAGAACTACAGGAAAGTTGACTGACTGGAAATTCTACAACGAGAAGCAAGGAGAAAACCAGAAGGAAGCGCGGAGGAGCTGGAAAAGCCCAAGGTACGGAGACACGCGGCGCGCGGAGAGGACGGAGCCGGAGAGGAGGGCGGCTGAGTGCCTGGCGGGCGTTCCCCAGCGGGAAGGAGATAAAACTCCGACTGTGCTGGGCCCCAGACTGCTCTGAACCCCAGGCCTAGGCCAGACCCCGGGGACCCAGGCTCACACAGAGGGAGCCGGGCTGAAAGGCGGAACCCGGGGAAGCGGCGAAAGGGGGTCCCGGCGGCGGCGCGCAGTGCGCACAGAGAAGGGACGGCCGGCTGTGCCGCGGGATTGCCTGGCGGGAAGGAGACAGAGGCTCCAGACTGCTCTGAACGCCACCTCCAACTCCACTTCCAACTGAACTGAGCCCCAATACCGGGCTCATTGGGGGAGAGCATTGACTGTTTGGCAGCAGGCGAAAATCGAGGGCACCTTTCTCTCAGAGGCGCCGGCAGGGAGCACTGAAGGACCCGCATAGGGCGGGGCTGACGGAAGCCAAAGCTGCAGGCTCCATCCTGAAACCCCGCCCCATCTGTAACTGTGAAATGCGACAACAAAATAGATCACAAACGAAAGAAATGGAGGACAAAAAGCGGCTGGATATAGAGTTCAAATCTACGCTTATAAGGTTTTTCAAGAATTTCCTAGAAAAGATGGATAAGACCTATGAGGATATGAAAAGAAATCAACTAGAATTAATAAGGAGTCAACAAGAAATGATAAGGGAACAACAAGAAATAAAGAATACATTGTCTGAAATAAAAAATATTTTACAGAGTCCTAAAAACAGAAGGGAAGATCGCAAGAATCAAGTCAAAGATTTGGAACATAAAGAGCCAGAAGACACTCCTTCACAGAAGCTAGAAGGCAAGAAAATCCAGAAAATTGAAGATAATGTAAGAAACCTCTGGGACAACTTCAAGCGAACCAACATCAGAATTATGGGGGTCCCAGAAGATGAGAGAGAGCAAGATATCGAAAACATACTGAAAGAAATAGTGACAGAAAACTTCCCCCACCTGGGGAAAGAATTAGACTTACAAGTCCAGGAAGCGCACAGAACTCCAAACAAAAGGAATCCAAAGAGGACCACACCAAGACAAATCATAATTAAAATTCCAAGAGCAAAAGACAAAGAGAGAATATTAAAAGAAGCAAGAGCAAAGAAGGTAGTTACCTATAAAGGATCACCTATACGATTGTCAGCTGACTTCTCAACAGAAACCATGCAGGCCAGACGGGAATGGCAAGAAATATTCAAGGTGATGAATAGTAAGAACCTACAGCCAAAGATAATCTATCCAGCAAAGCTATCACTCAGAATCGAAGGTCAGATAAAGAGCTTCACTAATAAAAAAAAGCTAAAGGAGTTCATCAACACCAAACCAGACTTATATGAGTTGCTGAAGGGAGTTCTTTCAGAAGAGAAAGTAAACAAAGATAAAAATTATGAACAACAAATACGTAACTATCAACAAGTGAATCTAAAAACCAAGGAAATTAAAAAAAAAATCTGATGAACAATAGTAACTGTTGAATATAATAGAATCAGAGGTATGGAAGGGGAGTGAACTGACGATTCTTGGGGAAAAGGGGAGAGGGGGGTGTGGGAAGAGACTGAACATAAACTGTGCACCTATGGATGAGGACAATGGGGAGTGGGGAAAGGGCAGAGGGTGCGGTGGGAACCTGGTGGAGGAGAGCAATAGTGGGGGGGGGGGGGGAGGAACATTTGTAATAATATGAACAATAAAAACTTATTTAAAAAAAAAAAAAATGCAAATATTAGTATTTCTCAGTGTTTTGGAGTAATAATTCATCCTGTCTTAATTTGTACACTTCTTTTCTAAGCCTGTAAATCTAAATTATTAATATCACTTTTTGGAACTTTAATTTTTCTTTATTTTGTGTTTTAGAATTTGAATTGAAAGTCTAACTTAACATTATTAGGGATAGAGGTTCTGCCAACTTCTTCATACCTCTTCACGGAAATGTAAGTTCAATGAGGGCAGGATCATTTTCTATTTTGTTTGTTGCTGATTTCCTAGCACACAGGGCAGTGCTTGGCATACAGCAGATTCAAAAGTATTTTTAAACCCTTGCTGGTTTGGCTCAGTGGACAGAGTGTCAGTCTGTGGACTGAAGGGTCACAGGTTCGATTTCGGTCACATGCCCAGGTTGTGGGCCCAATCCCCAGTAGGGGGCGTGCAGGAGGCAGCCAATCAATGATTCTCTCTCATCACTGATGTTTCTATTTCTCTCTCCCTTTCCCTTCCTTTCTGAAATATATATATATATTTAAATGTATCTTTTTAAATTAATTAAAAAGGCAGAATGTTATAAACTAATTTCAGAAAATCAAGAGTTCTCTGAGAAGAGATTCAAGGCAACAGAAGTGAATTTGCCTAAAGAGGAAACATGCTTATCAAATTGTGTTAGGCAATTTGCCTCTGGGAAATAGTTTCACAGGCTTTTTAAAAAATACTATCTTTAGGACAATGGATACCATTTTTACTCATTTATGTCTAGCATTCAGAAGCAGGAAATTTCAGACCTCGGGTAATAGCACCCAACAATTTTAGAACCACTGTTCTTGGCTTATTTTCCAATTATATACTAATATGTATCTATAACAATATCTACTATAATAAATGTCTACTGTTGAAAAGATAAAAATCCAAGAAAATACTCAAGTTAAATATTTTTTAAGCCTCACCTGAGAATATGTTTTTATTGATTGAGAGAGAGAGAGAGAGAAAGAGAGAGAGAGAGAGAGATAGAGAGAGAAATCAATTGATTGGTGGCCTCCAGTACTTGTCCTGACAGGGGATGAAACCCACAACCCTTTTGGTGTATGCTTTATAGAGCAACAAGTTTTAAGCACAATTAACCTTCAACAGGTTGAGGTAATAGACTATATCTGATATCTTATGTTTTAAGATTGCTATCTTTATACTTTCCCGAGGCCTTCCTTATAATCCTATAAGCTCACCTATCCTGATTCTCCTGCAGACAATCACAAAAATGAGAAAAGACCCTTTCATTGGGCAAAAAGATTAAAATAATCATAGATTGGCCTTCTAAAGCTATAATGGTTTTTACTCCTTTAACAAGTGAACATTAAAACTCCCTTGGAAAACTGTAAAAATTTTTAAAGATTTTTTTGCACATAGTTGAAAAGGCTGATTTTCAAACAGAGCTCGTTTTAAGTTTAACAAATAATTACTCTTCCCTCGGAGTACAATTAGGAATCAGTTGCAGCAGTCTCAATTACACAACAGGCACTAAGTTCAGGTTGTGGCGGGTGGGGCGTGAGAGAAAGGGAAGCGGGGTTTCATTGCAGGAACTGACAGTCCAGCTGGAGAGGCAAGCACGAGGTGATTGGCAATGTTAGCAAACTGATAAGATATATTGGTAAAAGGGGCCGAGACAGGTTTGGCTCAATGGATAGAGCATCGGCTTGGAGACTGAAAGGTCCCGGGTTCGATTCCGGTCAAGGGCATGTACCTTGGTTGCGGGCATATCCCCAGTAGGGGGTGTGCAAGAGGCAGCTGGTCAATGACTCTCTCTCTTATCGATGTTTCTATCTCTCTATCTCTCTCCCTTCTTCTCTGTACAAAATTAATAAAATATATTTAAAAAAAAGAGAGAGAGAGAGAGAGATATTGGTAAAAGGGAATGGCTGGGGTAAGAGAAAGTCATGAGTTTGGTTGTGAATGTATGAGTGGTGCAGACACTTGAAAAGTCAGCTCTGGAGGTCAGGAAAGAGACTGGAGATGCGGGGCTGAGCCATGTGCTGGCAGTGTTGGATTGCACGAAATTACTGACAGAGAACACGTAGAACAGAGTCCTAAGACCTTCAGAAAAAATCTCAAATCAAGAGGATGAGCAAAGAAAGAGAGACCAAAAAAGTAGCCTGAGAAGCAGCAGAGAGAGAGGTAGGAGAATGAGGAGAGTGTGGGGTCTCATAGTTGAGGATAATAAAAATTTCTTGTAGAGAATTGCCAGTGAAGAGTCCATAGGAGGTGAGACTTTGGGGATTCTGCTATTAGGAAGTCATTAATCTGGGACATGAGGGGTGACCTGGCTGAGACATCTGTCACCCCACTGATTGCCAGGGTTGATTCAGCTCATCTGGCTGGCTAAGCAGGTGTCCCCTCCCTCCATCACCAATCCATATGCTGCCTCCGGAAGCTACACAGTCAGTCAAAGAGGATGACCTTCCCTCAAGAGGAGAGGCCTTGTCTTCAGTCAAGCGTATTCCAGTAGCTGCCCTCCCCTGCTAGACCCTCCTAACAAGGTCTCAGAAAGTCACTGACCTGGAGTTGCTCTAATGGTGGACAGAGTATCAAAATGACTATAACGGACATTGACTCTCCAGCATTCCATAAGAATCATAGCTCTCTGCCTAGCAAACGAGACCATTCTTTAAGCAAGTCAAACACTATAAACTAGGTGAATGTAACATGTTAACAAAGCTTGATGCCACAAGTGACTCGTTTTCCATTTACGAATATGTTTACTTTACTCCTCTCAAATCCAGAAAAAAAATTTCAAGTGGCTACTCCTGGTCTTTTAGCGAACTCATCAGCCAATTCTGTCAACTCTCTCTCTGAAAATGAGTTCTGGATTCCAACAGGTCTCACTACACCCGCTGTTACCACCCTGATCCAAGCCAACGTTATCTCCATTTGTCTGGCTGCATCATCAGTCCTTGACTCAACAAAACAGTCAAAATATTCTGTTAAAAATATCTGTCAGATCACATCATGCCTCAGTTCAAAACCTTCCACAGTGGCTTCCCATTTCACACAAGAACCAAAGTCCTTGCAGCAGCTGGTAAGGTAATCTCATCCCCTGTGACTTATCCCCTGGCTCATTGGTCCCAGCCCTACTGGCCTCTGTGCTGTTCAGCCAACATAGTAGTTCTCAGATTTTGGATGTGCCTCAGAATCACCTGGAAAACCTGTTAAAATACAGACCGCTGAACCAAACACCCACAATTTCTGATACAGCAGCTTTGGAGTGAGGCCAAGAATTTGCATTTCTAACAAGTAGCTGACACTGCTGATCAGAAGGCCACACTTTGAGAACCATTGGTCTAACATATCAACAACAGTCCTGCCTTTGACCTTTGGCACTGCCTGGAACAGCTCTATCTCAAAGAGCTCAAGAAATAAGCGTCAACCAATGAGTACGAGGAAAAAGTGGTGGCTCATGGCAACAAGCTAAGAAATCACGGATTGTGCATCAAGTCTATGGTGTCTGCATTGCTTAAGAGAACTGAATAATTCCTTCAGTTGATGATTCAGATATCTTATGATCAGTGACACGATCCTTGACCGATGGAAGGCAGCCATGTCACCATGCCTCCCCAAAGAAAGGCCCAACAAGATCACTCTGCAGTGAAGGCTACGATGGATACACGAAGCTTCTAATCAGCTTTGGCGTTCTCTCTTAAATATGAACACACAAACAGGCATGACCAGACGTTTGAGGAAAATATGTAATAGAAAATACAGATGCCAAAACAACTGAAGTTCAAATTAAAAAATAAATAGTAAATTCACCTCAACCGGTGTGGCTCATGCAGGAAGCAGCTGATCAATCATGGATGTTTTTATCTCTCCCCCTCTCATCATTGAGGTTTCTATCTCTCCCTCTCCCTTCCTCTCTTTGAAATCAATAAAAACATTAAAAAAGCCGAAACCAGTTTGGCTCAGTGGATAAAGCATTGGCCTGCGGACTGAAAGGTCCCGGGTTTGATTCCGGTCAAGGGCATGTACCTTGGTTGCAGGCACATCCCCAGGAGGGGGCGTGCAGGAGGCAGCTGATGGATGATTCTCTCTCATCGATGTTTCTAACTCTCTATCCCTCTCTCTTCCTCTCTGTAAAAAATCAATAAAAATATATATTTTTAAAAAAATTAAAAAAAAGAGTGAACTCACCTTTACTCAGTTTTAATGGTAACGTGATCAAATTAAACAACATTTAACTTGTAGCATATTTCTTTTTTAATCAATAGGCCTACACAATGGCCTATTTCAAAACTAATGTTTAATTTATTATTTGAATCTAAATGAATGCTGGAAATGCTTGAGAATGTTGCTTTTAGAAATATTTTCTTTTGAGGTAAGCTAGCCAAAATTTCCACTTTTCTGCAAAGTTACCAAGTTGCATAATGCTTGTATGCTTAACCATAATATATTTATCAGAACAAAGTTCATTTTCCAACACAATGAAACGAAAGCCACCTTTCAACTCTAACCCAATAACCTTCTTCTCCCTTAACTGTTGCCACTTTTGTTTTTCAAGACCGCTTCTTTACTCCCTTCTCCTGCCAAAAAGCCTCTTGGATTTGGTTCTACCGAGGGGACCCACCAGTTCTTAAAACATAATGCAACCGTATTGCTGTATACTACAGCTTCTCGGGATAAGGAGGGCCTGTAATTTTCAGATAGGACAACCCAGAGGACACTCCAGTATCCTATCAAGCAGAAATCCTTAGCATAGCCCTGAGGTCTAAACATGTATCCAATACATAGGAAAGAAAAGTGTCTCCTGATACAGGTTCTCCATAACAGATGGAAACAGCATAAGTAACACACATACTTGGAGGTAGGAAAAAACTTACTGCAGTGGATAGTCTAGATGCCAATGTCATTTCCAAGTTCCCTTTGAGACCAAGTAGTGCAGGAACTAAAATGAAAACTTCTGTTACTTTTTTGAACACCTCCCAGTGCTGTAAGAAAAACAAAAATAGAATTTGCTGACACTTAAAAAACAGCAACATATTTTAGAACAAAGACATTTCTTAAAAATCTCAGCCTTTTTCCCAATGTTGCATTTGCATTTTGAATGACAACACGGGTCATTTAATCAGGGAACATTTAGCTTAACCCCATTCTCCATAGCTCTGAAAACTTGAGTTACTTTAGAAGCTCCAGTTAGAGTTGGGAGTGGTAGCTAATAGTCACTGCATCCCAAAATACATCTAGCTTGCTACACCTTCTACCCTTAAAGGTTACTTTATCCCTTTTTGATGGCAAAAGTTAGCATAACTCATGGTTAAGAGCACAGACTCAAGAACCAGGTAACAGGGGTTTGAATCTTGGTTCCAACACTAATTATAACAAACCCACAGGAAAACTGCATTAATATTATTATCTAATTTCACAAATCCTATATAATAAAAAGGTAATATGCAAACTGACCGAATGGTGGAACGACTAGTCACTATGATGCACACTGACCACCAGGGGGAAGATGCTCAATGCAGGAGGTGCCCCTTCGTGCCTCTGGCAGCACTAAGGAAGCCCCAGGTAGCGAGCCTAAGCCGTCATCCCCCAAGGGCTCTTGGACTACAAAAGCGCTTACGGTGGGCTGAGGGACCTCCCTCCCAGAAGTGCACAAATGTCGTGCACCAGGCCTCTAGTGAAGAAAAAAAGATTCAGAGAGGTTAAATGACTTTCCCAAGGTCAAAAATAAAACTCAGAATTGACCTCAGGAGTTATGAGTCATCCATGTTCTGTCCCAATTTGACGTTTTGAAGCAAAAGGTTGCAGAGCATCTATAATAATAAAAACAATATGCTAATCATATCGGATGTCCTTCCGGATGAAGCCAGGGCTATGAGGGCCGAGGCAGCCGCTGTGGCAAGCGGAGGAAGCAGACGCCACAGCAGGGGGAGGGGGCCCCAAGGCAGAGGAGGCAGCCACCACAGTGCCAGGGGCTGAGGCAGAGTCCCACAGCTACCACAGCAAGGGGGGGCCGAGGCAACTGCCGTAGCTGCAGAGGCTGAGCCCCTTGCACGAATTTCATGCATCGGGCATCTAGTAGGATCATAAAAAGGCACTAAATTGGAAATTAGACTCGAGATTCTAGGCCTGGATCTTTCATAACCTGACCGTGTGATCCTGGGTGAGGCATGTATCTTTCGATCTCAGTTTCTTCATCCATGAAATGCAGATACTATCTGCTCTGTCTAGACCTTTGAGAAATACCATGATATTGAAAGTAGCACACATTAAAGTACTTTATGAACCGAAAAGAATACAAATGCCTTCACACACTGTGCTATTTTACAAATGCTATTAAGACGTGACTGTCCCAGTAAGAGACTTTATAAACTAAGGATATTAATTTATGCCAAAAAAATAATCAAGAACACAGTCATCATTAATACCAAGACAGATGAGAACAATTTAAATCCATCAGCTAACTTAAAGAAAAATTCACTTTGCCCCCAAAGTTTCCTTAGAGGTTGTTCTGAACAGGGGTAGCACTAGGGCCGAAAGAGAGTTTAGGAAATGTTTATGAGATCCGTCTCTGGTAAAACCTGATTCAAAGGCTTTTCAAGGAAAGCCTTCCCTTGCAGATAAAGACGGGCCTAAAGCAGCAGGGGGACTCCAGTGGCATCCTGGATTCCTTACCCTGTCAAAAGGTAACACACAGGTTCCTGTCCATGTTTCATGATGGGTCAGGATTCTGCTGTGCTAGTGAGGAGATACATCCATCAAAGATGGTGGTGTGGCAGTGGTGGTAATGATGATGATGATCAATAACAATAGATAATAATAACTACACTGCTAGGGATACAATGGTTAAAATAAAACAAAAACTTAATAGAAGTAACACAAAAAGCTATCTGAGGAAAATGTTATTATAAAGAGTCTAAAGATATATTTATAAGGATATTTGTGATAGCACCAGCGTGGGGGAATGAATAAGTCAAGTCTTGTGTATACATACAATGGAGCATCAAGCACTCACTTGAAAAATGCAGAATATCTTTGTTACTAATTCGGAAAGATGTCCAAGATTAATATTAAGCAATGGCAGTAAGTTCCAGAAAAATAGATACAGCATTTCATTTTTATGTTTGGAAATAGAACACCACCACCTCTGCACAAATATATATAAGTATGCACAGAAACAAGTCTGCAAGCATATATAACAAACTCAGAACGAGGTATCCCCTGGAGGTGAAGAGAGTTGGGGCTGGAGTTGAGGAATATCTTTTGTTTAACACTCCTATTGTTTACAGCCAACTTTATTATTGTAAAACTTTATTAGAGACTTACATTCTGGTCAGAATGAAACTATTATCTTAGACCTTCTAAAGGAAAACAAGCCCTAACCGGTTTGGCTCAGTGGATAGAGCGTCGGTCTTGGACTCAGGGTCCCAGATTTGATTCCAGTCAAGGGCATGTACCTTGGTTGCAAGCACATCCCCAGTGGGGGGGTGTGCAGGAGGCAGCTGATGGATGTTTCTCTCGCATCAATGTTTCTCTCTCTCCCTCTCCCTTCCTCTCTGTAAAAAATCAATAAAATATATATTTTTAAAAATAAAATAGTTGGAACCGGTTTGGATCAGTGGATAGAATGTCGGTCTGCAGACTGAAAAGGTCCCAGGTTCGATTCCGGTCAAGGGCATGTACCAGTAGGAGCTGTGCAGAAAGCAGCTGATCAATGTTTCTCTCTCATCGATGTTTCTAGCTCTCTATCCCTTTCCCTTCCTCTCTGTAAAAAAATCAATAAAATATATTTTAAAAAGGGGAAAAAAAAGAAAATAAAGAAAACACCTACAAAGAGCAAATTCTCTACCAGAGTCAGCATCAGTTCATTCTACGAGGGGACAGCTGAAATCTAAAGTAAGTGTCTGAGCTGAGCAGCCCACCTAAAGCGCTCGGAACAACAAAGACGGTTAGGTTAAAGATGGAAACCCACCTGGACTATGTCCAGAACCATGCCGGCAGAAACGGTCCCGAAGCCGGCCAGCAGGAACGGCACCAGGATCTGCAGGGCCATGATGCCGCTGGACTCCTTGGGGAGCTTCGGGTTCGCCTCCAGAATGACGTCTTCCTCGCCGTCGCTGGGCCGCTCCTCGGCCTGCAGCATGGCCGTGGTCTCGGAAGCCTCCCCGGCGTCACAGTAATTGTAGTTGGCATAGTCGTCGTACTTCGGGCTGTAGCTCGAGGGCGTGTGCCCGTTGTTGCCATGGAAAGACGGCTCCGAGACTCTGTGGTACTCCACATGTGGCTCAGACCTGGTACCAAACGTCTGTCCCGCAGCTGATAATCCCTCTGGCCAAAGGCCGTTGGCCTTTTTGTGCCTGTCTTCCGGGTTTTTCTGGTAAATGACTGGAACCATACTCGACAGTAAGTTTAGAAACTTATCCGATTGCACTGTGTGTAAGCTGGAAGTCCAGTCTACAAAACCTCCTCCGCTGCTCGGACCACCACTCGTTTTATTAGGAACAGATCTTCCTTTACTATTAGTCATATTGTCATCGCCAAGGACCCTGGACGCCTTAGATCTGAAGCTCCATAAACCATAGCAGATGAATCAGAACCACGCAGATGCCGGTTTCAATTTAGATGCTGAGTGCATTTTGTAGCAAAATAAGGTTTCCACTAATAAAAGATGTTTAGACATTCCACACAGGGATGGGATCTGGGAAAGAAAAGATAAGGTGATTTTTAAAAATCAGATGAACTATGTGCATACTGAAGGTTTTCAGAATTAAAGATATAAAACACTATCCTCACAACACTGCCATCAGGTAGGTGTCATTAGCTCCATTTTATAAATCAGTTTTAATCTTTCATCCCTGGTTCATGAAACTGTCAAGCACAGACTGTTTTAAACCGAGTTCTGGTGTTCAAGGTTTCATTTTAACCACCACACTGTATTTCTCACCACTTTGTGTGCTGAGTTTGCTTTAAAACCCTCACAATAAATCCTCTTGCCTTAAAAAAATAACACGCATATGTTCTTAAACCAGCCCTAAGATGCATTATACTTCTTGGGCTTAACACATAACTGCTTTTTGTCATATAACTGCTTTGTATGCAGAAATATACTACAGAGCTATTTTCTGTGCTCAATCTTGGTTATAATTTTTTCTTATCTTTGCATATTCTATGTAACTAATACCTATGTAATGTCTTCAACTGTCCCTGAAATTCTACAGTGGAAAAATTTATTAAATAAAGTGATGGCTTCCATTACTATAGAGTGATCTCAGACTGCTACAATCCTTTACATATGTCAGTACACAATAAAAGGTAAGGCATATGATGATATATTTTAAGCACATTAAGTAATAAATCATGTTACTTTATTTATATATTTTTTAAAATATGTTTTTAGTGATTTCAGAGAGGAAGGGAGAGGGCGTGAGAGAGAAATAGAAACATCAATGATGCAAGAGACTCACTGATTGGCTGCCTCCTTCATGACAGCCCACAACCAGGGCATGAGCCCTGATTGGGAATCAAATCACGACCTCCTGGTTTATAGGGTTTCGCTAAACCACTGAGTCATGCTGGCTGGGCACTTTATGTGTATCTTAATATACATTTTGTTTATTAGATTATGCAGAAACCATGATAATGTCTGCTATAAAAACACTTGCTATATGTTGCATACTATACAGGGCATTTATTTCTCATATAAAATTAGATTGGAGTCATATTTGTAATTCTGATATACAAAAAAATTAATTATCCTATATATAATAATAAAAGGCTAATATGCAAACCGACCCAATGGCAGAACTACAGGTCACTATGACGTGCACTGACCACCAGAGGCTCAACGCAGGAGCTGCCCCCTGGTGGTCAGTGGGCTCTCACAGGGGCAGCACTGTTCAGCTAGAAGTCGGGCTCACAGCTGGCAAGTGCAGCGGACAGCAGCCCCTCCCACCTCCACAGCAGCACTAAGGATGTCCTACTGACGGCTTAGGCCTGCTCCCCTCAGCTGTCAGTCAGACATCCCCCAAGGGCTCCCAGACTGTGAGAGGGTGCAAGCTGGGTTGCGGGGGGGACCCCCCCCCCCCCCGCCACCGAGTGCACAAATTTGTGCACTGGGCCTCTAGTAGGAATATAATCCCTATTATCTAGGGAATAATCCCCAAAATGAAAAGGGATCACAAATATTCACTTAACCCTCTACTTTGCAAGCCAACCAAAAGAAAGCTCATAGTACACTTACCACTTCATACCCTTCTCAAAGTCTGCTCTTACGCGCATTTCCAGAGTGGGCCCCTAATAGGCAGACATACAGCCTAGCCTCTCATTACGGAAGGTTCTCCAGCAGCAGGCCAGTGACCAGATTCCCTCACAGACTTTGAACTAAGAGACACAAATACATACTTGCTATTGCTAGTATGAGACTGTGGGCACTGAAGCTGCAGGACCATGCCCATCTGCCTGCACAGAGAGCTGGTTTGAACATCTGCAAATGCTTTCACAGCCTCTATCACAACGGACCCACAGGCCCCAGGTGTTTCTCAGGAAAGTGGCGCTGACTTGGTGAGGGACAGATGGCCCCACTGCCTGAATGGACTGCCTGCCCACCAATTCAGACTAAGAATTGTTGTTGTCAAACTGCTGCTTTTGCATCCGGGCCCAGAGCAGCCAGACCCGGAGCAGCCAGGCCCGGAGCAGCCAGGCCGGGAGCAGCCGGGCCCGGAGCAGCCGGGTCCGGAGCAGCCAGGCCCGGAGCAGCAGCAGCCAGGCCCAGAGCAGCTGGGCGCGGAGCAGCCAGGTCAGGAGCAGCCAGGTTGGGAGCAGCTAGGCCCGGCGCAGCAGCGGCCAGGCCTGGAACAGCTGAGTGTGGAACGGCGGCAGCCAGGCCCGAAGCAGCCAGGCCCGGAGAAGCCAGGCCCGAAGCAACAGAGGCCAGGCCCGAAGTAGTAACAGTGGCCAGGCCCGGAGCATCCCGGCCCGGAACAGCTCGCTCCTTGCCTGCCCATGCCCCAGGGCTGCTTCTCAGACATGGCTGGAAACTTTTGGGGGAACCTGAGGGTCTGCTGAGTCAAGTGATGAAGGCTTAGATCTGGATGTGTTGAGTTGTTGTAGCGCTGGGGTGTTGATCTGTGAGTGCCTTGTGTGGGGTCTGGATGATGTTGATCTATTTGGATGTGTCTTTTATTTGAAGTGTATCCTTGGGAATGTGGAGGTATTATTGATTTGAGAAAATGCTAAGTAATTGATTTGCTAACCGGAAAATTTAAAGTTCTGAAAGTTTAAAATTCTCTTGCCAAAAAGAGGTTTTAAAGCTAACACCTTAATTTTCATGGAGAAAGGGGAGGATATGCCCTTCCCACCAAGAACAGGTAATCCAATTCCAGCCAGCAGCTATCCTTAAACAATGTGCTCATTTACATTTGATAGCCCAAGGGCAAGTTTACATGTAAACAAGTTTGCTCCTCAGTTCCCAGGGCAGAAAAAACAAGGTTTAAAATTATTAGATTTTAAAATTTATTCTTAAAAATATAAAAGTTTATTAATTTAAAAAAAAAAAAGAAAATTAAAAAACCTGATGAACAATATTAACTGTTGATTATAATAGAATCTGAGATACGGGAGGGGAGTGGACTGCAATTCTGGGGGGGGGGGGGGAAGGGGAGTGGTGGATGTGGGAAGAGACTGAACATAAACTGTGCACCTATGGATGAGGACAATGGAGGGTGGGGAAAGGGCAGAGGGTGGGGTGGAAACCTGGTAGAGGAGGGAAAAAATGAGGAACTTTTGTAATAATATGAACAATAAAGATAGATTTAAAAAAAAAAACTGCTGCTTTTAAGGAAAATTGTTGTATTCATCAATATTTGTTTGCAATGCCTTAGAACCATGGTCGGCAAACTGTGGCTCGCGAGCCACATGCGGCTCTTTGGCCCCTTGAGTGTGGCTCTTCCACAAAATGCCACAGCCTGGGTGAGTCTATTTTGAAGAAGTGGTGTTAGAAGAAGTTTAAGTTTAAAAAATTTGGCTCTCAAAAGAAATTTCAATCATCGTACTGTTGATATTTGGCTCTGTTGACTAATGAGTTTGCCGACCATTGCCTTAGTATATCCATCTCTTCTCCTTGGATAGGAGACAAGTGGATGCTGAGGTGTGCTCATCTATGTCATCATCCCCTCCTTTTCCTTTTTTCCTCTTGTGATTTTGGAGGGGTCTGGATAATCCTACTGGGAAACATTTGTAAAATACAGATTCTAGGACCTCATATCTCCTGACTGAGAATTCTATGACTGAACCCTATAAATCTTTTCTTTTAAGCTCCCCAGGTGATGTCGGTGCAAACTTCCTGTGATCTTGCACTTAGAATCCAATGAGCAGATTAAACAGCAGTTGCCAGTTTGGGCCACCTGCAGACGGATAGGTGCACACAGTAAGTCAGTGTTCAGAGAGAATCAGATGAATGGAAACAATGTCCGGGGGAAGCAGAGGAGAAGCCAAGCCGTCCCAGAGAGCGAGATAAATAAGCTGGCCTGCTGCCGGAGAACCTCCGTAATGAGAGGCCAAGTTGTGTGTCTGGGACGTGGGAGATTCCCGGCAGCCTGAAATGAGTCAGACTGAGTTTCTTTTCCTTCAACCCACTCACCTCCTTTTTATTTTTTTAAAATATATTTTATTGATTTTTTACAGAGAGGAAGGGAGAGGGTTAGAGAGCTAGGAACATCGATGAGAGAGAAACATCGACCAGCTGCCTCCTGCACACACCCCACCGGGGATGTGCCTGCAACCAAAGTACATGCCCTTGACCAGAATCGAACCCGGGACCCTGTAGTCCACAGGCCGACACTCTATCCACTGAGCCAAACCAGTTTTGGCTCACCTCCTTTTTTAAAAATGAGCATTTCCCTGCCTCCAAGATATATTTAATCAGACAAAATACAAAACAAACCTCAAAGAGATTGAACTTTCAGACAAATGGTTTTCACTGAAGGGCAAGTGATAGATATAGGCATCTATAACCTTCTTCTTCTGGAGGCAGAATTATCAGGGTGATCAACATGGAAATGCAGAGAAATGTAGATAAGCCAGAAAGAAAGATGACAGTCCCTATATCACCATTCGGTCACCCTAAAATTTAGAAAGCTAACATGCATTCTTGAGAATTTTGATCAACAGAAAAATGGAGGGAAGGGAAGGGAAGGAAAAGAAATGAGGAATTTCCTAAGACAAGTCATCTCTCTGAGAACCCGTGCAGGACATAGCTAAGTGCTGGATCTAGACTGAGGTGGCCAGTGGGATCCAGGTGCAGATACACATCCAGTTTACACTTTTGCTCCTGTTATTCTCACTTCAGCATAAGCTATTGTGGTTAGATGGAGACATAAATATCTACCGGGGCCAATGTGCACAGAGACCACACAGAGCCTTTGTCTGAAGTCAAAATCAGAGTGGCTCCCGAAAAAAGGAAGCTTGTGAGTGGAACCCTGGCTGCATCTCAGCCCACTGCATCCCCTCAGCCAAGCACCCTCACGTACT